AGGAAGCAACTTAATGTTACTCTCTGTGTGTGTGTGTGTGTGTGTGTGTGTGTGTGTGTGTGTGTGTGTACTTAGTATGCTCATTGGCTTTTCTTATTAAGCTTCTATAAATTCCCAAAAGCTAGGCTTCTAGTATATATGTGTGTGCCTATGTGTGTTTGCATACACTCTTGTATGTGAATGCATTTCAAATATGTAGAGGAGGTGTTTCTTAAACCAAATTCATTCAAGCCATATTTATTGCATGCATACTATTTTCTAGTCATTCTTCTGAGGGACTGAGGACATAACAAAACCCTTGCATTCAGGAAATGGTATAAGCACATTGTCACAGCCACAAGATCAGCCTAATTAAATTTCAATGGTCAAATAAACGTTTCTCCATAAAAATTATTTTGAAGAAAAGAGAGATGCAACAGATTCCTGACCTTCTTAGGGAATCTTCTGAAATACCATTTATGGATCATTCATGTTCTTATGCCTGCATTATAAAGTACTTCACATTCTAACCAAAGTTTACATGGACACAGAGTATATTTTCCACAATTCACAAAGTATATTTCAATCCTTCCTGAGGGAATGGCATTCAGTAAGGCACTTCTAAATACGTTTTAAAAAGGCAGGACCTTGCCAAAAATGGTCATATCTATTTATATGTTACTCCAACCATAATCCCGTCTATATATTTCTCTTTCTTAATCTATGCCAATGTGAACTTAGAGTAACAGCTTCCCTCCAATGGAGTTCATATCTGTTTTTCTGCAGATCTAAACTAAAATCAGAGATGATCCATTTAAATATGCATTTATGGAATGCTTGCTGTGCGTGACATATGCAATCTGATCTCATCCTCACAGTAGTCAGTTCCATGCGGTTGTTATTACCTCTGTTTTACAGATAAGCAAAAAGGCTCAGAGAGGTTAAATGATGCATGTAACACACGTGACCCAGTGGGAAGCTGAGTATTTGAATTCACTTAAGATGCTAGAGTCCAAGTTTCACCTAATTTCTTACTCACCATTAGGAAGCATGCAAAGAAGTAAAATTTATCAAATGGCAAGAACTTTGATAGACAGTTTCTATCTCTTCTACAGGTCAATGAAAATGGTCAACTTTCAAATGCTTTTCCAATATTCACACAGATTTCAAATTGTTTTCATTGAAAAGAAAGGTGAGAGCCAATGGGTATCTCTCAAGCCTAACTGCACTATTAGCATCCACATATAAGACATTAAGAATGACAATTACTACAGTAGGACTCCTTTTCTCTTAAGGGCAAAACAGGTCTCTGGAAGAATATTAAGGAAATAGAGAACAGGGCTGCTACTGTAGAGAATGAAATTATGAGCAATGACCATGACTGCCTGCCTTAGAAAACCACTGGTGTGGGAAGAATCCCACATGTAAACAATGACGTGTATGTCTGCATTAAACATCATTCTATATATTCTAACGAGTCTTTAGCCTATCACAAAGCAAATATTTTGTTTAATGAACAGAGCATTCATTTTGACTAGAATTGTGAATCCAAATTGTGGTTTTGGGGGCCTTAATATTAGTAATAGAATTTTAGACCATATAATTTAAATTATATAACTGCATAGACATTTGCCTTTATTTTGTACATCCAGGTCCCGACTATGTAATATGTGGCTAAAATGACACATTTAAAATACCAGAGCTCTCTTATTCAACTTTTAGACCAAAAGCACACACAGTGCATTAATTGCATTCTTTCCCTGTAAGATTTCATTGAAGTATGATTTTTGCTGAGATTCATTTTTCTATACTTTTAGGAGAAAGTCAGAATGTACAGTTTCTAGTATGAGGCAGCACTTTATATCTAAAATAATAGATTGAGCCAATTTGTCTTGATAAGACCTCAAATGAGGATCCTGGCAACTACTGTAAGGTCAGTTTCACAATCCCTATTTTTCATGTATAGATGCTCAACCTGTTAAAATGCTTAGCCAGACTGTTATTCTCAGGAAATTAATCCACGTTAATCCAAGAATAACCGTAACTAACAGCCATCCTTAGCCCATTATGCTTTCAGCTTTGCATAACACTACTTTTAAGTCATAAAACAATTTGACAAATTACATATTATAATTCCCATCTCACAGACTAGACAATTGAGAGCCAGGGAAATTAAAAGTATTGCTCAAAGGGCACAGCTATTATATTTGAGTTAGAAGATATTTGAAAAGGTAACTTTAAAACTTGTAAAACCCCGCAGCTTTCTGGGCACAGGGTCCTCAGCAGATCCTGGTAGACAACTGCTTACTCAAATGTCTTTCAGTGGGCACCAACTTGGGCCCTGACATCCACCGATGAAATAAGTTTCCAGCTCTGTCACCCTAATTCTCTGAACAGTACATGAACAAATGCAGGGCTTTTGAACAAATCAGTTTAAAACAAATCAGTACTTAACCAAAATGCAGCGCCAACTCTGACTACTAAATCAAAGGCATTAATCCCCAGGCGGGCCATAGGCTCCTAACCATAGAGCTGCTGAAATGATCTGCCAGTATGAAAGATGATGACACCTTAGATGCCCCATTATCTCCATAAGTGGAAGGGGTGGGAGGAAACGTTTCAGACCAAAATTTTGAACAGGTTCTCTCTCTTTCTCCTCACTTCTCTCCCTTTCTGTCTCTTAGGAAAGTTGCATGTGTACATTACATGTGGAGGGTACAGGAAGGAGGTGACACTATCAAGGAGAGAAATGTGCTTACAGATCTAATTAGAGCAGCACTCAAGAAATCTGATGTCAACAAAAGATATATATATATATATATATATATATATATATATATATATATATATATATAAAATAAAATCTCCAACGGGGAGACTCAAACCTAATTTCAAGGCTGGGTTTCCCATGTGAAGCCAGAAACTGAACTATAAAAGTGAAAAAGCATCAAAGTACATGTTTTTCTTCTGACTTTTTGTCATTGTGCTAGGTTCCAGCTGAGCCGGAACTTAAGATAACTTGAGTCATTCCATGTCTACAAATGGTGACTTAACTGTGGTAATGTAAAACAAGGCAAACAAGCAAACAAACAAATATTTTAAAAAGTGCAGAGAACTATGGAAATATATGCACAAGTCTATGGGGATTTCAGGGAATAAAACCATTTTGCACAATTATTTTCATAGGTTGGTAAATTTATTCCCTGATCTGTGTTCCGACAGGAAACATGTGCCCAGAAAAATAAATTAGAGAAGTGCTCAGCTGTAGGCTAGTTTAGTTAAGGAGTAATGAAAAGGATAAGAATAGATGATGTGAGTGTAAGAACAGGCTCAGATGCTTTCAGCTGGGTATCTCTGGTTTCTATTATCACCTCTCTAATATAAATCGAACTCTACAGTTCTTTAATGACTCTCCAGGGACCACCACTCACAGGATTAAACACTAAGAGGGGACCCAGGAGAATGCTGCCTTTCATCTCCTTTGGGATATGTCAGAGTTGTGGATCTTATTATTATTTTTTTTAATGACATTCAAGCGAGGATTATCTAAACTATGCTATAGAGAGGAAAAGAAGAGGGAGAGAGGGAAGAAGGGAGGAAGGGAAGAGAGAAAATGAATGTTGGAGTTTGTAACCCTTGAGGTCTAGACTGGCAGAAGTTTTATTTCAAGCTCTCAGGACCAATGTGTCTTCCTTTGACCGTTCCTCATAAAATGGCATTAAAAATACAGGAGTAGACATGCTACATATACCTGTCCAGTTTGAATCCCAAACTGACTTTTGCCTGGTTGTTCTGAGGCTTGTGTGAGTCACCTGTCTCGTGCTGTTTGGCCATTGATGAAAGAGTTATAGCTTCTCTAGGCCTCAGTTTCCTTTTTTTATTGACATGAGATCTCTGGAGAGTCTTCCGGCTCTAAAGTTATATGAGTCTATGATTCTGATAGAAGGCCCCAGAGAGGAATAGAGAAGAGTGAAGGGGAAGAGTTCTGTAAAAAAATCCAGCTCCATGACTTTGGCCTCAGTGGGGGAGGAGGGAGGAGGGGAGGTGATCCTACAGGCGCTCAGACTTTTTAAGCATTTTCCACCTTCTGCTTTAGTTTTTATATCGGCCTCTTTTTGCCGAGACAAAGCTGGCACATGAGAAGCATCAGTGCTCGACACAGACCTCTTCTTCAGCTGCTTTTTCTAAGTTAACACAGGACACTAGATTTCTTCCTTTTTCTAAGGAGCTGTGAACTGGTGATGTTGGAAAGGTTTCTGGCAAAACCCAAGCGACCGCTCAAGCCCTCTACAGTCTATACACAGCCTCTCTGTAATCCAAAGAAGTCCTCAGTTAGAAGGGGGTGGAGTTGGAGAGATGCAGGTCCCCCTTGTTTCATTTTCAGCACTGGTGTGAACCCTGGTAATCTGAAGACCACATCTGGGCATGTATATGCAAGAGTCATTGTGGAAACTACAGCCGCTTCTCTCCACCAGCTTCCTCCCTGGAAGCCCACCCTTTCTCCCTCCACCCCCGCACCAGCCAGAAGCCACCCTTCAACTGCTTGGTTTATTGTCATATTTTTGTGTTAATACATTCTGTTGATCTGCAATGTCAGGTTGAATAATGAAATTTAAATTGAGTCCCTTCGATTTCCAATAGCTAAACATTTGTGCATCTAACTCTGGGGCTGACAAGCAACTTAAATGCGTTCTAGAGTGTCAGTCACACAGCACTAGCACCCCACACTGCAGCGGCTTTCTTGGGGAGCTTTTTTTTTCCTGGTGAACATTTGCAAAGGCGTCTGCCTAGGATGCAGTCAACCTGCATCCTTATAGCAAACGGGCTTATCGGTGAGCAGAGACTGAGGAAGCAAATGTGTGGGCCACCCATTCCCTTAATTTCTGGCCCCCAATAGCTAGTTCTTAAAAAAACAAAAAACAAAAAACAAAAACAAAGGGAGAGAGAGGATACAGAGACCAAGAACACCAAATCAACTGACATTTTCTTCACACATAAATAAGAAAATAAGGGTCACTCACTGTATTTCAGACTGATCACAGCAACATCCAGATGGAAATCCAGGTGGTTAAGAACAAGAGAAAACGCATGATCTTGATACCAAAAAGAATAAAAATTTTAAAAAAAGGAGGTTGATGAAGAAAAATCCAACTGCAATTATCCGTCAATTTTAGTCAACATAGGCACAAATCCAACTGTGCTCTGCTGGTTTCTCTCCCCCAATCAATGCCTCATTCTGCCGCGGTCAACTTTTCTTCTCTGAAATTTCTTTGCAGATGTATTATTAATTTCCTCTCTTCTTGTGGGAAATTCAAAAGAAAAGAAAACACCACAGAGCCAGTTCTTTACTTTGCTAAAAAAGCCCCAAACTTTTCATTCCAAAAATATCTCCTTGGCTTACTTTCTCCTTTATAGAGAAAAATGAACATACTTTTTTCTTTGTGAATCCTCCGTTCTCCATTTCCAATCATCCTTTTTTTTTTTTTTTTTTTTTTTTGCGGGGGGAGGGGAACAGCTGCTTTAAGATTATTTATTTATGTCAGAACACACCAACCCCCACGGGTCTAACCCTGGTTTATTTAATTCTTGAATGCTCCCTGTGTGCACATATACACATTTGTGTTAAGATCCAGGGCTCACAAGAAAAAGCTTCGTTCCTCCTTCTCTCTTGCACAATCAGTTTATCCACTGCGTTCGATTCCAGGAGAGAGCTGCGTCCCGCATCCTTCATTTTTGCAAGGCACCCAACAGCCACCACCACCACCACCAGCACCAAAAAAAAAAAAAAAAAAAAAAAAAAAAAAAGGAAAAGAAAAAAAAAAGTCTCCTTTTACATCGTCAATTCCTCTCCCCAGCCTCCCCTTCGAAGAATTTGGGGAGCAACTTCCCCCCAACTCTCCATCCTTCCAGCCGGCCCCTTCGCCAAAGATCTGATTAGATTTCTCATCACAACCCAGTGCGCAATTGAATTTTTGATTTCAGCCACCCGGCCAGCCACCTTCTCCTCTCCCCTCCAAACTCCGGTTATATCCTGTCTCCTTCCCTCCACCGCCTCTGCAATTTCATAATCTCACGTTAAATGGAGTGCGGGGGGCGGGGGCGGGGGCGGGGGCGGAGGTAGTGGAGGAAAATTTCAAGGCTCCGTCAGCTGTCAAGAAGAAACCCATTCCTCCCCCCGGCTACTTTTAAAAAAAAATCTTTTTAAGGCTGGGGTGCCTTTCCTTCCTCTGTCGCCGCCCCCACCCCCGGCACCCGGTCCAGATCCTCCAGGTGTTGCAGAACTCCGCGGTCGGGGCCGGGATCAGGGGGGAGACGCGGGATGCGGTCCCTCGCGGGTGGCCCCAGCCAGCCCCCGGGCCCCCTTCTCCTCCATCAGCCGGCCGTGGCTCCGGGGCACCGCGGCGCTCAAGTTGAGACTGGGGCTTTTATTTCAAATGGGGAGGGCGAAGTGAGGGGACTGACAGGGGGGTAGGCAAATTAAAACACACACACACACACACACACACACACACACACTAAAAATTTAAAAAAAGAAAAAAAAAGAAAAAGGAACAAAATGGGGAGAAAAAAAAAAAAAAAAAACCCTAATCGCTGGCTCTTCTCATCCTTCTGAAATGCAACTGCAGCTTTGATCTCATTTCCAGCTGCGTTGGGTACGTGCTGGAGCCACAAGTTGGTTCCCGGTGGCGCAGACCTTCCCGACGCCTGCTAGTCTTCTGCGAGGAGACGCGTGCTCGGGAGCGCAGCTGCTCCGCGCCGTCCTTAGCGCCATCGCCCCGGCTCACGGCTCCCCGCGCGGCAGAAACCCCAGTCCCCTTCCATCCACTTCGCTTTGAACTCTCTTCCCCCCCTCCCTCTGCTCTCTTCCCTCTTTTTCTCCCAAATAAATGTTCTCCCAGCGCCGGCGGCAGCTCTCGCCAGCCTAGGCTCTCTCTCGGCCAGTGCCACGTCCGGACGCTTGGGGTCCTAGCTTTCAAAAGCTCCTTTCGGACTGCAGTCGCCTTCCCTTCTCTGTCCCTCTTTCCTTCCCCTTTTCCTTTCCCTTTCCCTGCTTGTGATCAGTAAAATACAATTACCCAATTACCTCCCATCATCTTAGCACTGATTGGTCAATTGCTTTAACACTTGAAGTCAGGGAAGAGGGGATTGGAGCCTCTGAGGTGTGGCACTGCTGCCACCTGGAGGGCACAGCTGGAACAGCTGAGTCTCAAAGCAAACCCCCAACGCTGGGAGGTTAGCAATAGGCAAAGAAATTCAGGCTGTGTGGGAGAAGTCAGTTTTGTTTTGTTTTTTCTCGAAAACCCTGCCTGTTTTCATCCAGAAATCCAGGAGTTTTGAGCTACAAAGAGGAAAGACATTAAAAGCAAACCACCACTAAGATTCAAAATTATCGCCAAACACACAAAGTTGTTGTTTCAGATTGCAGGGGAAGAGCCTCTGCTCTCTATGGTCAAGCACACTAGTCTCAAGGTGAGGATTAACGTATTACTATTACTTAGATGGGCGCGGAGGCTCACAGCTCCCAGCACTTTGGGAGGCTGAGGCGGGTGGATCACCAGGTCAGGAGTTCGAGACCAGCCTGGCCAACATGATGAAACCTCATCTCTAGGAAAAATACAGAAATTAGCCAGATGTGATGGCTACTCGGGAGGCTGAGGCAGGAGAATCGCTTGAACCCGAAAGGCCGAGTCTGCAGTGAGCCATTGCACTCCAGCCTGGGCGACATGAGCAACACTCTATCTCAAAAAATAAAAAAGAAGAAGAAGAAGAAGAATACGCTCATCAGAAAGAATCCTGAGTAGCTTAAAAACTACTGGGGAGGGAGGCTGAGGTCGAGCAGGATAATCTCACCAGGAGGAAGCAACTGTAAAGGCCAGATAGTAGCCTTCAGCCTATGCAGTGTTGCAGTAAATTGGCCTGTTCAGTTTGTACAAGACATCCAGGACAGCTTGACAACTCAATTCCAACATCCCTGCTCCAGGATGTGGACTTTTCCATCAACTTGCGTTAGAGAAATCGTTGGCACATTTTGAATTCACTAGCTCTCCTTAGAAAGAAGGACTGAGACAACAAAATAATGCTATTAATATTATATTTGTATTGGTTTCTTTCTCCACCGTATAATTATCATAAGGCCCTTTCAGTAACCTATGGGCATTCACTTTATGTCATTTATGTATGTAACCTTGAGATATGAATGAAATAAATCAAATTAGGGATGATAATTCAAACAATACTATATATATGGGATAGATTAAAGAAATGTTTCTGTTTTGTGTGCCCAAAGTCATGATCTTTGTGCTGATTTTATTTTTGAGAGAAAAGGATATGTACTTGGTTTAAAAAAAGTTTTAAAGAAAGTGAGTAAATCATAATGGAAGGTAGCATTAGACAGAAAGGAGAAAAGGTTTATTAAGAGAACATCAGAAGCATATCCCAGTTCATACAAAATGCTTTTTCTTCTTTTCTGTTCCCTTTAGTGTACATGCATATTTCCTTGCTCAGGGTTAAAAAAAAAAAATACATCTGTAATGTTCTTTGCATATTAAGAACATGCTGTGGGGCTGGGCGCGGTGGCTCATGCCTGTAATCCCAGCACTTTGGGAGGCTGAGGCGGGTGGATCACGAGGTCAAGAGATTGTAGACCATCCTGGTCAACATGGTGAAATCCTGTCTCTACTAAAAATACAGTAAATTAGATGGGCATGGTGGTGTGTGCCTGTAATCCCAGCTACTCAGGAGACTGAGGCAGAATTGCCTGAACCCAGGAGGCGGAGGTTGCTGTGAGCCGAGATCGCGCCTTTGCACTCCAGCCTGGGTAACAAGAGCGAAACTCCGTCTCAAAAATAAAAAAATAAAATTAAATTAAAAAACAGCATCCTGTAATGTGCATTTTAGATGTCAGTACATGCAAGGGGAAAGACTTGTCCTTACACATGGATTGTGATTTATTGTAATTTCTCCATCTTTCTGGAGAGCTTTGATCTTATGAATTACATCAAAATGTGAATTTCTTGAGGGTTAATGGCATTGCTTCTATTTTTAAATGAATGCTGCATTGATTGATTCAAAACACCAGTGGACAGTTGACTTTAATTTGTGTTTCGAAGCTCTTACCCTTATATGCCAATTACAGTTTATCCACTAATAAACGATTAAAAGTACATTCACTAGCTGCACTCGATAGCTTCAAAGGAACCTATCCTCTGATTCTGAAGTAAGCTAGAAGCCATTTGAAATGAAAATTTTCTTTTTAGGGATTTTGACAGCAAAGGAAGAACCAATGATTTGTTTTTCTCAGAGCTAATTATTAGCTATCTACCAGACATCTTTAATACTATCAGAATGAATTAATCTATTAGACAAAGCAGCGGGGACAGATAAGTACTATTTGGCTAAAAGGAAAAAGGAATAGCTTCCCTTTCCTGTTAACCTTCCCCACCAGCAGTACCTTCACCCACATCACTGACTCGTTCACACTATATGACCTTGAATTAGTCGAGTGGTTTTTATTTTTATATTTAGATCGAACGAGTAATTATTGAGAATCCATGTAGCATTTTTTGGGTTATACTTCTTATATATATCACCTTATTTAATTCTCAGAACAACCCCCGAGAGATTTTGAAGACGGAAGGGATGAAGCTTAAAGCCACAATCTTGGAAAATGACACAGCCAGAATTTGAACCCAGATCTCCTCAAGGCCAATTCTTCTATAACATCTAGGTGTGGCTTACATGGGAACACCTCTGTGTCAGTTATCAACATGCAGGCTGTCATTTTCTTCCCTGAATGCCAGGCATGAATTTGTAACTGTTTGAGAGGATGGCAATTCCACGTTTGTCACTGAATGACCTTACTCAAAAGAGAATTGGAATAAGTGATAAACAAGCTAACTGTCATGAAAGTACACATGCAAACCAAATTGTTGCTGAAAAAAAACATCATTATAGATATGTATGCAGTAGAGGTTGCCAGGTGCTGTTAACAATGACAGAGTATGTATTCAAGTAAAAATCTTCATAAAAGCTCTTTTAGAAGCAATAATATGACACCACCACCCTCCCCATTAGCCGATCTAGTTACCAAAGGCATGGGGAGGACAAATGCTTTTTGAAATGACAGGCCGTGGGAGAAGAGGAGGCACAGTGCTAGCATTCCAGATTTGTTCTATGGACATGCAGAGTTCTACCTTTGTTCCTCTCTGATTTGTAGACATGAGTCATTAAACAAAACTATCACCTTATTTCACTGTATGTTCGTGACTGTAGCTGGCGTAATCTTTAGCAAACAGCAGGGGACAGCATCTTGTAATCAGAAATACAAAACAGCAAATAGAGCAAATTCAGTAACTTTGCTTAAAAGTAAAAATATGAATGTGTTTATTAATTGGATTTAAGAGACTGTAGACTACTCTATTGAAGCACAATACATACTTAAGGTTTTCGTCTTTATTCTGTGTTATAAATCCTGGAAATAAATCTTTTTTCACGTCCGATAGTATTACACAGGGACCACAATATCCTCTGGGATAATTGTATCAAGCTTGCCTGTATAGTCCCACATAATGACGCGTGAATTAATTTCATTAAAACAATTTATTTTTTGACTGGGCCAGTTGGCTCATGCCTGTATTCCCAGTACTTTGGGAGGCTGAGGTGGGTGGATCACAAGGTCAGGAGATCGAGACCATCCTGGCAAACATGGTGACACCTCGTCTCTACTAAAAATACAATTAAAAAAAAAATAGCTGGGCACAGAGGCGCATGCCTATAGTCCCAGCTATTCGGGAGGCTGAGGCAGGAGAATCCCTTGAACCTGGGAGGCGGAGGTTGCAGTGAGCCAAGATCACACCACCGCACTCCAGCCTGGCAACGGAGTGAGATTCAGTCTCAAAACAAAACAAAAACACATATTTTTTGACAACTACTTTGATGTTAAAATTCAATACTTAGTGGGAGTTTACTACACATTACATTAGATATTCTACAGATATTGTATTTTAGAACTAGAAGATATCCTAATAATCCTCTATTCTTTATTTCTTGAAATATAGATAAAAGATTCTAAAGTCCTAAATACTAATTTGCAAATTTCTGCTTTTTTTCAAGGTACCCTCCACATGATGGCTACTCCTCCACTCAGCCCTCAACCCATATATTGTAGTCTTATTTGTTGTTCTCTCATACTTAATATTTGTTTTAGTAACTAGCATTTAATGAGGGCTTGCGAGTGCCAAGCATGTTTCTATGTATGTTACAGATTTCAACTCACGTAGTCCTTCCAACAATCTTATGAAGTAGGTGCCATTGATAAAATTGGAGTTGAGGTTAAATAAGGGCACCTAGCTAGGAAGTGATAGAGGCAAGATGGTAACTCAGATTATTTCACGTCAGAGATTGTGCTCGTAACACATATTTCCCACCATTACTTACTGCAGTGGATGGAAATGATTTGCTCATGTCTATGTCCCCCCCCAACCCCCAAACCATGATTTATTTCACAAGAGCATTGTTTGTATTTCTAATGCTTTGTACATTGCTGAGTGAATAAATCTCTAAGATTATGCTTGTAGGAAATGGAAAGACCTACATTTTTTGGTCTCTTACCCAATATTCTCTTCACTGTGGTGCACAAAATTCTAAAAAGATGAGATACTTGTCATAATTATTAAAATAGAAAAACTAAGAGAAGATACCATCAAATAAGATGATTTCGTCAGCGAAGTCTAACTTTTGAATCAGTTAGCAATGAATGCATAATAAACCATTTGAAATCTTAACAGCTGAAAACAACAATCATTTATTATTTCTCATGAGTCTAAGGGCTGGTCAGATATTGGTTAAGTGGCTCTTCTTGATCTTGTCTAACTGTTTGCTGATCTAGAATGTTCTCAGCTGTGATCACTGGTGCAACCGTGCTTCACTCCACATGTCTCTCTCTCTTCATCAGTTTGGACCAAGCATACTTCTTGGCAATGGCAGAAATCCAAGACAGCGAGCAGAAGATCATGAGTACCTTTTTAGTCTTCTGTGTGAATTGTATCAGCTAACTTCCCATTGGCCAAAGAAAATCACTTAGTTGAATGCATTGTCAAGGAATAGGATAGGTCATTCTACCTTCAAGGGGAGGTGTATTAGTCTG